TTCTCAAAGCAAAGATGTAGAGTAGAGAAGGAGGTTAGTGGTAGTAAAGCCATATCAAGCAAGGAAAAAAATCTAGAAGGTGTAAAAAGAAAATTATGAATTCAATTATACAATGGTTGAAAAAAGTCTATAACCAAAAATAAATACAAACAAACCATTTGATTGTAGGGGAAAAGTTGTCAGTGCATGTAACAGAGTTAATAATTCCTAATGTACAAACACTTCTACACATCAATAAGAAAAGGCAAACAACACAAAAGAAAAATGGGCAAAGTTTATGAATAGGCAATTCACAGAAAGACCTCAGAAAGGCTAAAAAGTATATGAGGAGATGCTCCGTCTCATAAGTAGCCAAGGAAATACGAAGTAAAGCAAGCAATCTTAAACTCTCTGAGTGCCTTGCCTGTAGCCATACAAAAACATATGGTATTTAATGACACAATAACAATGGATTTTTAAATAGCTCCATCCTTTGAGACAAGTAGACTAAATTCACCATTAACAGATATTCTATGCACTTATGACCGTACCCACCTTTGGACCTACTCTGGTGATTTTTTTCTTAGTTGGCATTTCTATTTGTAAATAGATTACATGCTGAATGGTAAAGATACCAATATTTAACTTCTACTTTTGATTTAGAGAATAGTATTAGATAACTTACCTGAAACTGATTACACTTCTCAGATAATAATTTTTGTTGAGCATCTAAAGAAATCAGATGAGTCTGATATAGTATCTCTTGCTTGTCCCATTCTCTTGACTTCGCTCTAAATTCCTTTTAAAAAGTGGAGAGACAAACATATTGAAAAATATTATTCATTTTAAAGTACAACGAATAGGGCTTCTTTCATTTGTACATCTTCATTCTGAGAAAAAAAAAAGTAAATCCATTCTTTACCTATTAGGGAAAACAAACAAAAAAAAAGGTGTCAAATCATTCATGTTGGATTTTTTACCATCTCTAATTTTTGCTAGGAAAATACAGAATTTGTCACTTATTGTTAAAAATATAAAAGTCTCTCTTATAACAAATACTTATTACTAATAAGGGAATTTCAAACAACTTTTTTTTTTTTTTTTTTTTTTTTTTTTGCATTAGCTAGTACTTTCTATTTGTTGACACGAAATATTTTTTCCTTCATTCATTCAGTTGCCAAATTTGTTCTCTTGTTTTTTTAGAGGGTGGGGCTTGGACTTATTTAGTGACTGTTAAGGACTGAATGTTTGTGTCCCCCGCAACAAATGCATACGTCAAGCCTAAACCCCAATGTGACGGCATTATGAAGTGGGGCCTTTGGCAGGTAATTAAGTCATGAGAGTGAAGCTCTCATGAACGGGATGAGTGCCCTTGTAAGAAGAGCTATGAGAGATTTTGTTTCCTCTCTCTTTCTTTCTCCCTGCCATCTGAGGATACAAAGAGCAGACAGCTGTCTGCGAACCAGGAGAAGGGCCCTTACCAGAATCTGATTATGCTGGGTGATATGGTTTGGCTCTGTGTCTCCTCCATCCAAATCTCACATTGAACTGAGATCCCGAGTGTGTGTGTGTTAGCAGGGGCCTGGCGGGCATGGGGGTAGTTTCTTTTTCTTTTTTTTTTGTTTTGAGATGGAGTCTTGTTCTGTCACCCATGCTGGAGTGCAGTGGCACGATCTCGGCTCACTGCAACCTCTACCTCCCAGGTTCAAGCGATTCTCCTGCCTCAGCCTCCTGAGTAGCTGGGATTACAGTCACATGCCACCACGCCTGGATAATTTTTTGTAATTTTTAGTAGAGACAGCATTTCACCATGTTGGTCAGGCTGGTCTCAAACTCCTGACCTCGTGATCCGCCTGCTTCAGCCTCCCAAAGTGCTGGGACTACAGGCGTGAGCCACTGCGCCTGGCCTGGTGGTTTCTAGTAGTTTAGTACCATCCCCCTAGTGCTGTCTCTTGACAGAGCTCTCATGAGATCTGGCTGTGTAAGTGTGTAGCACTTCCTGCTTTTCTCTTTCTCTCTCCTCCTGGCTACATTAAGACATGCCTTGCTTCCCCTTTGCCTTCCACCATGATTATAAGTTTCCCAAGGCCTCCCCAACCATGCCTCCTGTACAGCCTGTGGAACTGTGAGTCAATTAAACCGTTTTTCTTCATAAATTACCCAGTCTTAGGTAGTTCATTATAGCTGTGTGAGAATGGATTAATACACAGGCACTCTGATTTTGGACTACCAACCTCCAGAACTGTGAAAAATAAATGTCTGTTGTTTAAGCCACCCAGTTTACGGTATTTAGTTATAGCAGCCTGAACTAACTAAGACAGTGACTTTGCCCCTTGTGGCCATGGCCAGGCCTCATTTAGGCAGTACCAATTGGTATACCTGGGAAAGAAATGGTAGAAGTAGGTTGATAAAGCAGGATCAGTTCTTTAAGTTTTTGCTCAAGTAGTGCAGTTATACAGCATGATTATCTGTTCACATCTTAATAACATAAGCAAAGGATATAGCTCTGGGGATGCCAAAGAAGACATTGCTGGTTCTCCATTTTGCCTAGGGCTGACTATTTATATCCTCTTTCTTTCCAGTCTTTAAACAACTTGAGGGTAACGGCTGTTTATTACTTTTGTAACATTCACAGTGCCTGACAAAGTACCAGGTGCCATTTATACAACATGAATGTACAAACAAAAACATGGTACAGTATTAGCATTTTCTAGAAATTAAACCTTCTCAAAAAATTTTGTAAAGAAAACAACATGGTTGGAAACAAACTCCATAGCTATTAAATCCATGACTATATATCATTGCATATAGAAACACGGCAAGATGTAGTGATGTTTTCAACCCTCAATTCATTAATATTTATTGAGCAGTTAATGTCCACCAGGTTCTGTGGAAAGAAGAAAATCTGGAACTGTTTCATAATTTTAAAAATTTTTTTGAAAGAAAAACATCAAGGAATATCTAATAAAGTAGAGAAATGTACACACAAACAAATAATTTTACAATTATGTCAGTATGTTAAGTACAATAATGCTGATACATAAAAGCCACGCAGATGATATTGAGATTATCTTGGCTATTTCTCATAATATATCAAATCGGAACAGTTCATTATAGTCAGAGTGGTTACTATTGTTTTGAAGATGGCTGAAATGACTGGATTGGCAATGCTGGGAAACAAATGCTAATTTAGAGAATGAAAGCTTTATTTTGTTAAAATGAGAAGAACATGGCATTTCATATTTTCTATACAGAAATAATTTTAAAGTACATTTAAGGAAATTTTAGTTTTTAAAATCCATAAGTACCTAAACAATCAGTGAAGGAAGGCTCTAAATTAGGAAGTTTTTACGGTAATGAAAGGTGGGTGACCTGATATTAAGTGATAGTATTAAGGTTGATGAAGTATGGAAAGACCCTCCATATATAACAATAGATCATGATAAACAGACTATATTTACTATGATAAATGGAGATAGTCCATTTAAAGTTATTGACTTTGATTCTGACATTCAACATACAAAAATTAGGTACATAAAAACAGGGTCTTTAGCAATAATGACAAATTTATAAAACTAGGCTCTAGTAGAAAATAGCTAACATTTCAAATTAGTGCAATCTAGATTTTAAAAATTTCTGTTTACTTTTAATTTAAAAGGGAATCTTTGGATTTAGAAGTCAAATTTTGTAAGGTTGACTTAAGCTGTTCATGTTTTAGATAATACAAATATTTAGTATTTCTTACTCATTAACCTCAAATAATCTTGAAAGTAAATATTCCCCAGGATGTTTTAGAGGCAGAAGCATTAACCTCAACTTCTTATAAATACTACAACAGGTAGAAGTGAGGCCAAGAATAGCTAGAAATGTGTGTCACAAACATAAGCAGGTGCTTATGACAATCCTGGCTTCCTTATTGTCAGATGTACTGGCTTCACAACTAGCAAGTCAGTGCAAGATATGCAATAGTGTGGAACCATGCAGGGACCTAGTTGTCACAGTAGGCTTCAGAGGGTCTGTAGACTTGCCTGGACCTCCAACAGTAAGTTATTCATGGCTGGAAAAGTTTTTCTGGATCTTGAAGTTTGAGAGTGGATCAGGGTCATTAAAATTAGTTTCTCTTGATAGCTGTATTAGATGTTTTAAAAAGCGCTCTAATAAATATTGGAGATGGTCTTTAGTGATTACTATATGTTGGAGACCTTTACCTGTAAAACGGTTTTAACTTTTTATTATGAAGATTTTCATACATTGAGAGTAAAACAAACCTTCATGTACCCTTCACCCAGTTTAACTACCATCAACTTAGTCCATCTTTACTTCTCCTATCTCTCCACCCTTTTTTTGCTGGTATATTTTAAGGCAACTTCTAGACCTCATGTGTTTTCATCCCTAAATGCTTCAGTGTGCATCTAAAGTTTTTTCACATAACAACAACATTACACATAAGGTATTTTAAACCCCATTTACTGATGACAACATGGAATCTTGGTGAGGCAAACAACTTGCCTATAGGTCACAGGGCAAACACATGAGTCAGGTAAGGCCTGTTTTCAGTTATCAGTGATCATGTTCTTCAACTACTACATGTGGTACACTGCTATTACTATACTGCTATTAAATGCCTCAAAGGAAAAACAGGTTTACCTGCAGACTAAAACTGGAAGAGCCTATCTCTTACACATTAATTTATCAGATGGCTATAAGTAAAAACAGGTACATGAAGTGTTTTTATAATTATTTCAAGTTAAACTGTATATCTGCATAGAGTCCTTAAAAACTTTTGTGCAAGTACAAACATATCAAAACATTTTACTACTAATTTCCACTGTAATTTCATTACATATATATAATGTAAATATTTAGTTTCCTAAATGTAAAATGTGCATACACAAGGTATCTGATAATAACTTAAGGGTTTTTTTTTTGTCTGAACAATTTTTATTAATGTAGTTCTGCCACAAAAGCCCATGAAAAGTCAGTCAAATGGATAATTAATGACTCAACGTCTTCATTTTCAGTGAAAGCACATGTATATTACAGTGCACATCTATCAGCATCTTCCATGAGATCAGGATATTTCTGAAGCCCTATTGGTTATACCACTGTAAGAGCCTGGGACTACAACAGAGTGCATTTTCCTGGAGGGCCAACTTACTTAGTGATGGTAAGTTTGTTTTTTAAAAAAACTATGTATTATTCAGAAGCATTTAAAATGTGCTGGACTTTTAAAGATTAAAATCTAGGACTTCCTACAAAGTTCTTATAATAAGCCGATTTTAGGGCTGTGATCCCGGATTTAATGCTCTTGAAGATATTTTAAAGTAGAAGGACTTGTTAATTAAAGAATAAGATGAAAAAGTGCTGGCAAGGGGAAGGATGCTGGGGTTTAGAGCTTGAGAAAAATGGAAGAAATTAAGTGGGATAACGTAGGGGTCAACTTGAAGTCAATTAAAAAAATAATAATTGAGCAGTACTCGGAATCCAGGTAAAAGTAGATGATAGGAATTTATAGTGTAATCTTTCTGCTGTTCCATGACTTGTAGGAGGAATGCTCAAGAACACAGGGAAGAAAAATAGCTGGTTTGTTTTTTCCAAGGTTGGGAAACGAAGAAGATAAGAATAAGTGCATCAATGACATAGTGAATTTTTAAAGTTTTTTGTTTTTAATTTTTGTGGGTACATAGTAGATATATACAGTTATGAGGACATAGTGAATTTTTTTGAGAGACCAAAATTTTAGAAATTCTGAGTGCTATCGGGCAATTGAATTGGAGTGACACTATGCCTTTAAAGAAAAAAAACCATGAAACTTCAAGCCCTGTTTTAAAAACTGTGGTGAGGCTTCATTGGGATTTAAGTACTTAACAGCTAAATGGCCACTAAAAGATTTATTAGATATTCACTTTAACTGACCCCATGGGTGTCCTTCAATTTTACTCAACAGCTGCAGTTTCATTTGACTTTTTGGCTCTTTTTTTTTCTCTCCCAAAATGCTGTTATATAGTAAAGATGTATACATCAAAGTGATGTTTTAATTCACTAAGTGCCTGAAGGGAAGGTGCACTAAGAAAATATATTCAATGAGAAGTTAGTTTGTAATAGTGTTTATTACCACAACTGAAGACACCATTGTGGACACTACAGACAAATAGCCCACAACAACAGGAATCAATCTTTAATACACATAAAGAATCTAAGATAATATATCTCACCTCTAATTTCTGGTTCAAATTGCTCAGTTCAAAGGGTAATTCTTCTTTAAGGTGTGGTAATTCTTTTCGTGGAACTTTGTTTTGTTTCATCTGATGTAATCTCAGTTTTTCAAAGCTATTTGTTAGTTTGGAAAACTGTAAATCACAGAAAATGTTAACATTTTACTATTACCAATTATTTCTAACCTGATTTCACTATCTCTTTTCCTGTGTACCTCTTTGAAAATTTAAGTCATGATTAGAAAGTGCAGTAAAGCTTAAATGTTTCAATTAGTGAAGACAGAACCAGTTATTAAAACTAAATTATTGAAGCTGAACACAATTCAGCTTTCATGTAAACTTGAGACTTCATTAACTGCACAGTTAAACAATGATTCACTTGATAAATGGCTTGTTCAATTTTGTTTTAATCATACGCAGTAAAGCTGACAATTTTTTAAAAAAAGTTTTTTCTTACTTTTAGTTAGTGCCATCTTGTGTTGACAATTTTAAATCCAGTAACTCAATCTACAAAATAATTAGCTTATACCTTACTTAAGAAAACAGAATATATATTAATTTAAAAGGCATAAGTAACATAAACCACTTATTCATGTGGATACATTTAAATAAATTTTAATATCAAAATTGATCTAATATTTTTCTTACTGATAATTCTTTTTACAACTTTGTATTATTTTTTCCATTTCCTGTTCTACATTCAAATAATAGATTCAAAATAGCATAGTTTATGAATATTTGTGAGGAAACTTCTATACTCATGTATCTGCTTTCAAATGTGTCTTATTTACACATTTTATTTTAAAATAATTACTGGTTTACAGGAAGTTCCAAAGTTATTACTGAGGTCCCAGATTCTCTTCACCCAGTTTCCCCCAATATTTACATCTTATTGAACTATAGTACATCAAACCCATCAAATTTCAGGAAACTGAAATTGGATCAATATATGTATATAGTTCTCTGCCATTTTATCACATATGTAGATTTATCTGACCACAACCACAATCAAGATATAGAACTATTCTGTCACCACAGAGATCTCCCTCATGCTATTCCTTTAGAATCACACTTAATCCCCTCATCCCCCAACCCCTAATCACCGAAAACCACTAATTTGTTTTCCATCTCCATAATTTTGAGAATGTTATAAAAAGAAATCATACAGCACATTAAGTTTTGAGATTGTATTTTTTTCACTCAGCTTAGTGTGAGATCCATGCATAAATCAATAGTGGATTCCTTTTTAGTGCTGAATCGTATTCCATGGCATAAATGTATCAGTTTGTTTAACCATTCATATACTGAGACATTTTGATTTTTTCCAGTTTTTGCCTACTGTATATAATACTATGAACAATGATGTCTACTTTATCAGATATTAAAGTAGCCACTTCTGCTTTTTTCCTCATAATTTTAAATTGAGATATAATTCACCTATTATAAAATTCACCTGAATAATATTGCATTGCATAAATATATTACATTTTATCCATTCATCAACTGATAGAAATGTGGGTTTTTTCCACTTTGAGATATTATAAATAATGCTGCTGTGAACACTTACATAGAAGTTTTTGTGTAGATATATGTTTTACTTTCTCTTGGGTATATACCTAGGAGTGGAATTGTTGGATCTTATGGTAACTTTAACTTTTTGAAGAACAGCCAAATTGTCTTCCAAAATGGCTGTACTATTTTCCATTCCCATTCACAATGTATTGGGTTCCAATGTCTCCATATCCTCACCAACACTTGTTGTTTTCTATCCTTTTTATTATAACCATCCTAGTGGATGTGAATGGATATTGTGGTTTTGGTTTCCATATACCTAATGACTAATATATATACCTAATGACTAATACATATACCTAATGTTAAGCATTTTTATGTGCTTATTGGCCATTCGTATATCTGCTTTGGATAAATATCTATTCAAATATTTATCCATTTTAAAATTTGGTCATCTGTCTTTTTATTATCAATTAGTAAGTTATTCATATATTCTAGATACCAGTCCCTTATCAAATATACGGTTTGCAAATATTTTCTCCCCATTGATGGGTGTCTTTTTAGTTTCTTGATGGTGTCCTTTGAAGCATAAAAGTTTTAAAATTTTAATGACATCAAATTTATCTAACTTTTTGTTGCTTGTGCTTTTGGTGCCATATCTAAGAAACCATTGCCTAATCCAAGGTTATGAAGATTTACTCCTATGTTTTCTTCTAAGAGCTTTTTAGATTTAGGTTTTACATTTGGATCTTTGATCCATTTTGAGTTAATTTTTGTCTATGGTTTAAGGTAGGGGTCCAACTTAGTTCCTTTGCATAAGGATATCCTCTTGTCATTGCACCATTTGTAGAAGAGACTAATCTTTCTGTATTGAATTATCTTGGCACCGCTTCTGCTTTCTTTCTATTAATATTTGCATGGTATATTTCTCCATCTTTTAAATTTCAACTTGCCTATACAGTTATATTTGAAGTGAGATTGTCATTTTTTTTATTTATTGTCAATCTCTGTCGTTCAGTTGGTGTATTTAGACCATTTCTATTTAATGTAATTATTCATATGTCATGGCTTAAGCCTTTTTTTGTTTCCTGTTTGTTCTCTAGCTTTTGGTTTCTCTATTTTCACTTTCTTGTCTTCTTGTGAATTACATAAGCATTATTTTAGAATCCATTTTATCTATAGTGTTTTTGAGTATATCTCTTTGTAGATCTTTTTTAGTGGTTGCTCTAGGCATTACACTGTATTTACATAATTAATCACAGCCTATTGGTGTTTGACATCTTTCCAGTTCAAATGTAGAAATCTTACTTTCCTTTATGTTCTTTTACTCTGTACCATTTATAACACCATTATCTTAGTGTTTCCTGTAGGTATACTGAAAACCATATTAGACATGGTTATAATTTTTTGCTATCAAAAAATTTAGAAAATACAAGAGGATAAGGAGAGTCTATTGCATTTCCCCTCATGTTTTTTACTCTTTTTGGTGTTTTTACTTCTTCGCTGATGTCTTAAGATTCCTTCTTTATCATTTCTTTTCTGTTACAAGACCTTCCTTTAGCCATTCTTTTAGGGTAGGTCTGCCAGCAACAAATGCTTTTAGTTTTCCTTCCTTTGAGAATGTTTTAATTTCCTCTTCATTCCTGAAGGGTATTTTTGCCAGACCTAGAATTCTGGGTTGAAAGCTCTGTTCTTTCAGCACTTGAAAGCCTCCATCACTTCCAGAGAGAAAGCCACCATTATCAGAATTGGTTTCCCCTATAGGTAAGGTTTCATTTCTGTCTTGCTGATTCCAAGATTTTTTTCTTCGTCTTTTGGTTTTCACAACTTTGACTATGATGTGTCTTAACACAGCTGTCTTTTGATTTATCCTGTTTGAAGTTCACTCAGCTTTTCAATCTATAGGTTTACATTTTTTTTGGGGGGGGGGGGGCTAAGTTTTATAACTTTTCAACCATTATTTCTCTGAATGCTTTTTCACCCTCCTCATCTTTCTCCTCTCCTTCTGGGTTCTCTGATGATGTAAATTTTAAATTGCTTGTTGCCATACTACATGTTCCCAAGATTCATTTTCTTTTACTCTTTCTCTCTGTTGTTCAGATTGGGTAGTTTCTATTGTATTATCTTCGAACTGATTCTTTTCCTTCTGTCCTCTTCATTCTGCTTTTAAGTCCATCCATTGAGTTTTTAAATTTGGTTATTATACTTTTCAGTTATAAAGTTTCTAATTGGTTATTTATATTATTTATTTGCCAAAGCTTTATAATTTTTCATTTATTTCAAGCCATATTTGTAATAATTCATTGAAGTATTTTTATAACAGCTGCTTTAAAATCAGATAATTCTAATGTGTGTCATCTTGGCCTCGGCATCTGTTGAATGTCTTTTCTTATTCAAGTTGAGATCTTCTTGGTTCTTTCTATAATGAATGATTTTTATT